TAGCACTTACTTTTGCTCATGTTGATTAATGTTATATAATACTTTATTTTATTTTATTCCACCCCTACTCTTCCCGCGGGTGTCGTAAGAGGCGACTTAGGGACTACACATCAAACAGAAAACGGGCAGCAGCGCTCTCTGAAAAACATCAATGTTTTAAACTGCGATCTCCAACCCGTCTGCCAAGCGTGGGGATTATGACAAAACCCTCCACTATAGTGGAGGAGGCTCATAGTCCAGCAGTGGACTGTAAAGGACTGTTGATGATGATGATGACTTTATTTCAGTATTACATACACTTTTTGATCAATTGAGGACAGGAATGATTGGTCAAAGAAGAAGCAACTCTAATTAAAGAACAAGAAAAACCAGGCAAGTGCTACTTGAGAGTTTAAAAATATCTTCGAAACCAATAAGTAAAAAACAGCTGAGTTTGCAACAAAGTTTCTTTCGGAAGTGGTTTCTTTAATTTAGTTTTGCCCGACTTTCCTGTGGTTTCGTTGGTTAATTTCTCTTAGCACTTTTCCTTGGAACTTTGGAACAGATGCGATTCATCGTTTGATTTCACAATGTGTACGCACTTGTGAAAAATCTTTAGGTACTATGAAAGTGAAATCATAATGACTGTTAGCATTGCATGAATAGGTGAGTATGAAAGTCCATTATTTTAAAAAGTTTATCACCTGAGCGAAATTGATTGGAATGATTTTTTTTTTGAGTTTGACGCAGACCAATACCGCTATGCATTTCTTTTTCGCATTGCATTCGCATTTTCACCCATTCTTTTATACTCGTAGGTGCACACTTTGCAAGTGTGAAGGTTGAACCGTGATAGTTTGTATCTAGTCGCAGTAATTTTACAAACTATCATAGTTTAAACTTTTGATTGAAATACTTACAACCAATAATAAGCTTGAAAACAAACTTGAAGTAGAGTTGAGTTTTGAGCTTCATTCCGTAATATCACGCTTAATCCTATTACAGTCACGTCCCTTATTACAGCCTTCTCTGTACATATTTCTGATGCTGTACACATACTTAATAGGCGTAATCACCCTTCAGCGGCATCGATGCCAGTCGAAAATCAATTTTCATGACACTAACCTAATGGAGAATCTCGTGAAGCCGTTAATCACCAGCCCCCAAATGATATAAAATACGAGCGTGTTTACTGGGCCCTTATGTGTTCAAGAATACGGTTAATAATGGTTTAGCAAACAGAAGCTCTGGCATATTTAACCCGAAAATGTTAGCCTCCTTTATTTATAAGTGAACAACCTAAAATGAATTTACGAAACCTAATATGTGATCGGCTTAATGTAAGCATGGTAATAATTATTCTTATAAGTCAAATAGGTCATTTTTGCACAGCTTTTGCTCTCGATTTACTATTGGGAATTTGACACTAAGTAAATGGGCTTCTGATTAAGTCGATTACAAACGACATAAAAGGAGTATTTGTACTTTATTTTTAAATGAAAGTATCTTGATGGATTGCCATATTATTATTACACCTCATTTAAAATAACTATTGGAATCGCTCAGTGCAAGCGCACTTAATGGTGAAGTAGGTGGAAAAGTATCTTCAAAAGATGACATCACGATGTTTTCCGTGATATAAATATTGCTGCACTAGATTGTTTGTTATTGTTAAATGATAAATCATCATTAGGGCATCGTTAAGCACGCGGCCTCTTCAGATTTACCCTTCGATTTTTCTGTACGATAACGAGTGTTAGATGTTAAAATAATTACCAACACCATCATTTATTTTGTCATTGACCAGATTGGATGAATCTAAAAGGTGTCCTAAAACCATTAGATTACTGTAGGTCCCATTAACAAAACCCAAGCCTATTTTTACTGTCTTATAAATGGATATAGAAAATAATACTTTTATAAAAAAAAATCAAAGAAATGTGTTGATTTGTGTGTATTATCACACTTTGACTGTAGAGTCTTAGAGAGTTTATGTAGATAAAGAACATAAGTACTTCCTAACCTAAGTTTGACTTGTATTGCTTAGAGAGTGTAGAATTAGGCCATATGAATATTTATAGGATAGGTAATCTATCAGAATAGTGTCTAGTCCAGGTTTGATAAATGTATAATGACTTAGCTAAATAATAAGTTCCACCATTATCTTTGGTACATCCTATAGTTTTATCTAATAATCTATGGCCAGGTGGAAGGCAGGAGAGCACGCGGTCGATCGCCAACCCGCTGGATAGACGCCATCACGAAGGCTACTTACTGAGTCCACTATGGTCCAGTGTATTCGCGACGCCTCTAACCGTCAGAAATGGAAGCACATCGCCAGGAGAGCTACCCTCGGAGATGACATCACCCCACCATGTACCTCGTCAGCGCAACCACGACCACTCTGACAAGAGTGCCCGACTAAGAAGAATCTAGGGCCAGTTGGCCATACCCAAGCATCGTACCAACTATGCCCAGAACAGTGTTATGACTCGTTTGCATAAAACATACAACTCTAAGTATAAACACATTGATTTTTTTAATGTGAGTAAGAGTACACTGAAGAAGGAAATGAGACATATTTTTTTACAAGTTAATGCGCCGGGTTCCTAGAAATCCTAATATACCTATCTATGTGTTCTGACCACACGGTGCATCTTATACCTACCTAACTCAGTGATCACGTTATTGTGGGATATAAATATATATAACTAGGGACATTTAAGGTCTGCCTAATTAATATTTAATTGTTTTGATGTCTTAAGGGTTGTAATAATTTACNAGTGCATAGCATATAAAAAATATAATAAAAAAAAAACCTAAGTTTGACTAGTATTGCTTAGAGAGTGTGGAATTAAACCATAATAATAATATGAATATTTACAGAATAATGATCTACCAGAATAGTGTCTAGTCCAGGTTTGATAAATGTATAATGACTTAGCTAAATAATAAGTTCCACCATTATCTTTGGTACATCCTATAGTTTTATCTAATAATCTATGGCCAGGTGGAAGGCAGGAGAGCACGCGGTCGATCGCCAACCCGCTGGATAGACGCCATCACGAAGGCTACTTACTGAGTCCACTATGGTCCAGTGTACTCGCGACGCCTCTAACCGTCAGAAATGGAAGCACATCGCCAGGAGAGCTACCCTCGGAGATGACATCACCCCACCATGTACCTCGTCAGCGCAACCACGACCACTCTGACAAGAGTGCCCGACTAAGAAGAATCTATGGCCAGTAGTGTAGTGATTTCATCAACGAAGTAGCACAAAAAAATGCTTGTTGATTCCTTAGTGACGACGGACACACATCGCAGTATCGATCGCGTCATGAATTATTCAAACGGCTCTCACTGACTTGTTATCACTCATACCTAATTCCGGCCCACCAGTAATAATATTTTGCCCCGCTCTTGTTATAGCCAAATAAGAAAGGCATTTCGTTTTTATATCCAAAGCACCGTTTTTGGCAGAGAAATGGTGGGTGAAAAGAAGGCGGCGCATTGTGATGCAGATGCAAAACCCTCTCTTTCATAAAGATAAAAGTTAAGATTTTCTTAACGAGTTAACTAAAAGTTATTTGTTTATGATAATTTTAAATCTTACATAGGAATTTCAATTTGTTTAGTTACTTCGCTATCAATGAAATATTTTTGAAATCAAGTAAATACCAAAATAATGTAATTAAAGTTTTTGACCATTTAATTAAGGAAACACAATTTGTATAAATTATTTTGGCAATTATTAATGTGAGTGGTTCTTGTAGACAGTTGGATTTTTTTATGAGAAGGCAAAGTAAACGAACTTGTGAGTTATCTGGTAAAGCGATCCGGAACACCGATGCATTTCCTAGTTTTTTTCATGAACGTCTTTATGCTTTTTCGATAGAGACCCCAAAGTTTTAGTTAGCTATTAGGAGAGTTGCTATACTTATCTTATTTTGCTTTGTTCGTGCCAACGGCGATAAATTATATTACGCTGAAGGAAAATACATTCAATTCGATGTTGTCGTCACGATGAAGCTGGAGAGTGAGTTTTTCTTTTTTTACGCCATGCATGTGAATTATGTGGTTTTGTTCCTTCCTGCATTCGTAATAAAAGGCTAAATGGCTTTTTTAGAAAATCACAAAATATTTTCGGTGTATTGTTGCTGTATTTTGAAGGAAAATTGACTACATTTGATGATTTTGTTACTTGGTCATATTTAATCCATAGTTTGGTAATTTCAAGACCCAATAAAGAAATAAATTTAAATAGTTCAGTACTGATGTTCCTCAGCATTATCCATTACATTTCTGTCACAAATTCTATGGTGTTTTATGTATTTTTTTCTCTAGCGGAGCATAATAGAAAATTCATACCTACGTTACGTATTTATTTGCCTTTTTTATCTACTTGTAGGTTTTTAAATAATTTGTACTCTTCTAGGAATTCTTCCATTTTGAAAAATATGTGATCAGAATTTGAGAGATTATGTTGTCAGTCACTCATCTAAAATGGATTTCTTACTAGGGGATTTTAAAAATAAAAAAAACTTGAATGCTTTTATAAGCTTTTATTTGATCATTCACATTGCAACCGTGTACATATTTTAAGATTTAAAATGGCCACAGGATTTTCACAAAAAATATTTGTGTCATCAATAATTTTATACCCACTTTGTGATGCAAGCATATGATACGTTAGTATCCAATTCAATACCATGATTCTAAAATTGGGTATTACCTATTTGAATAGAATTCATTATACATAATAATAAGTCCTGGATATTTTAACGCGTCATATGGCTGCTTTTCAAGTCACACAAAATCCAAAAACTCTTAAGATATTTTCACAAACTATATTATTAATAAATTTGGCTTCTTCTGCTATTAACACACGGTCCCTGACGATATGAAACTATTGCTGACCACATTACTCATGGATTCTAACGCCTAATCTATACAATATATAATTTCTATTCTGTAGCACATAAATTATTCTATTGTTAAAATATATTTCGCTTCAATATACACATTTTTCTTAAATTATCACATCTTTTAGCCTAACAAATAAATTTTCTATAGTAGTCAGTGTAAAGAGCTGCAGGAAGACTTTTAACACCTTACGGGGGAAGCATCGTAATTGTTGGAAGAACAATCAAATCAACAGACAAGTTTTTGAAATTGTCAATCTCAAAAAACTATGTAACAAAACTGCAATGGTATTTCTTGAACAGAGCAATGAATGTTAACAACTTTTGCAATGAAAGCAATAACGGAATTGTAATCAAATCAACAATGTAATCAAATTATTACTATGTGGTGAGCGAGAGGACTTCGTGGGTCAGCTCGGTGGAGACAAGTCTTTCCGCAGTATCATATGAAAGGCCCACGGGCTACCATGGATGCGAAGTCAAAATTATTTATGTACTTTCGTTGTTGCCCCGTTTTATTGTTTGCATGAAATAATGACAAAGTGAGATTCATGTCACTCATCTTTTTTTGTATTACGTTGAAATGAAAATTCTTCCTTACAACCCCCTCCGGCAATTACAATTAAGTTTATATTCGCTTTACAGCATAACACTAATTATATCGAAAATATCTTGCTGAAATTCATAGATAATAATTAAATTCTCAAAATATTTCTTCATTATCGAATCACCTAATAACATGCAATAATAATTTGATACAAATGTGCATAAGACAGGAATGAATTTTAGAATATCTAATACGCAATATTATCTACAATAATAATTATTACCTAGAAAATTAAAAGTCTATCCAGTTATTAACATTCTAGTTCCAAATTAATATCAAGAAAACGTGCTTATCTATAGATTTTGAATTGGTTTAAAGGGAATTAAGTAACGTCAAGTAGACCTGCTAGGGATCTTATCCATTCGATATTATCTAATCGAACGAAATGTCACTCTCAAAAGTTGATTTGAATCTAATTGAAGAATTGACAGCAATCATATTCTCATAAGGCTCTGAATCACCAAGCTGATCTAATTTAAACAAATCCGTTTTTAATAACAAAAAACAATAAATCTAAGAACAGTTAAACGGATAACTAAAAAATTAAATGAAGTGTCTGCCGTCACAACGAAAAAGGGATTTTTTCAGTATTTTTCAGTTAAATGAATAGGTACCTAATTAAAACAGTTGAATTGATCCAAAATTAACACAGTAGAATATAAATTGTTAACACCATTTCGTGCGACCAAATGGTTGTCTACGAAATAATTTCGATTTTCATTGGATTTAGTTGATTTTATACCATATCTATCGAAATAAAATAATTAACAAATGTTAGAATAATAAAGCGACATTTAGACTGCCATTACCACAGGGACATAACTATGAATTTCAATCTCTAAATTATTAACCATCTTTAAAATCAGCAACTATGTAACACCTAACAAATACTTCTATGTTAATATTTTGTATGTAATAACTATATCTTTTATGTTTTAGGTTAGGTTTGAATAGGTTTTTTTATTTTAATAATTTATAAAATAATTATGAAAATAGTGAGACAAACTTCTTTACATCTTAAATATAGCAGAGTAGGGTATTAATAAAAATCAAACTTGGAAAAAAACACCCCTTGTGGAAAATACATTATGTAAGAGGTTAAAATAGAATTAAAGCAGTTAGCTCTCAATTTTCTAAATGACCAAACCCTGTAGGAAAGTTAACGAAAAAAGCTCTGTACATTATAGTAATCTGATGATAAATAACATTATTTTTCTTACATAAGTAGATGATATTTTTTTTAAAACACTCGTGTCATACAGTTTCGTCGAGTAAGCTGAAAATGTACTATTTTTTTAGCTCTTTTCTTTGATATAACCGTCACAGTTTTAATATATTTTTTGCTCTAGGTAGGTCTGAATGAATAGGAAGATATTATACGGGATAATTGACTTTCGAAGCTCAAGAACAAATTAAAAGTGCGATTATCTTTATTGAATATTAGTATTAACTAATATTTTGCAACCATATTATCATTTATTTTATGAACACAGTAAAGTTTACCAATTGCTTTATCTAGTTTAGTAAAACATGTATTAGAAGTTTTAAAACTGCATGTGAATAAAAAAATATGTAAAGTATACCAAGAAAAATCCTAGGGACAACCATGAAACCTTTTAAGCGTAAATAATGAGGTATTGGTATATAAGATGTAGTAACATGAACACGTACCTAAATATTGTTTCATGCGCGACGATCTTGCACAGTGTCGGAATACAAATGATATATTTTATTTCACAAAGCAATATTTTTAGAAAGGAAACTTTAAAATTTTCGTGGAGCGTGCAAGCCAACATAGTAAGTTCGTGGAACGTTTACCAGAAGCTGGATAACTCAAAATTAACTGTACAGTAAGTTGCTCTACTATGGTAGCAGTTCTGTTGAACCATTTGTAGGCTAAATTAAGATGAGATCTCTTGTCTGTCATGTTTGGAAAGACAACCTAAAAGTTATTTACTTACTGACTGAGATAGGACAGTTATTGCTTGCGGTATATTATGTTAAAAGAAAAGGAGATAACCTAAATAATTTTAGTTTCATTTACTCGTGTGGTAGGCACATTAAGCTAAACTCAAATGCAGTAAAAAGTATACTCTGATATGCTGACGACTGTACAAGTAGGTACTTACAATATTGGATGCGTATTGAGATCTTAAATACTATAATTTGATCTTTTGTTGAAATATTTGGTGAAGTAGTTTATCGTAGTAACAACGGTCATATAATGTACTAAATAATAGGAGGCTTATGTGAATAAAATCATAACCTTTAAATTGAACACAAAATACGTTCACACTAATAACTTAATTTTTCAGCAAATTGGGAATTAAAATCTGGAAGTCAGAATTTTGAAACGTTGCGCAGTAAAAAGACCAAATAGAGAAGACCCAATGAGAACGATGTCGTCAAGGCTGATGATCCACTGGCTTGGCTGGTCTCGGAGTGTGGCTTTTTCATACTAAACTCGTTCACCGCCACTGCCGGAAAAGTATTATAATTTCAGTATAATTTACTTATAAACTCTAAAGTTCCCAACTCCAAAGCGTAGTCGCATTAATGTAAATGTAAGTGGCCCTTACACAGCAAAGTTTCTTCTTTCGTTTTTTAACATGGGAAGTAATGATCATAAAAGTAAGTTATCAAATATTCAAAGAAATATACTTCTACGAGTAAAATCGATAAAAAACCCCATGTAAATGTAATTTGCCAGTACTTAGGTACTAGAAGAAATCTTTGGTGAAGAATGAATACGATGATGTAAAAAAGTAAGTTTTTTTTTTAAATAGTGTTATTATGATTGTTGGGGAATATAGGACGCCCATTGCTTCGATTCATAATCTGTGTTGGGCTATAATAGTGATCTAGCTGAAGGAGCTCTACTCGTATTTTCGTTTGGTCAATGGACGTCTACTGCTAGTAGCCTAAGGAACAGCCCTATGTATAATACAATACCTTACCAGTGACAGTTTGCTTCTTGACATCTGCGAAGCGCTCTCCAGGACCGACTTCGTCTGGAATGGTGGCTGTGCAGGTCAGCTGCTGCCGGCCTCGAGCTGGCGCGTGGAGTTCTGCTATGGAGACCCAAAGGGAAATGGGTATGGCGGGAGGCACTCTTGGTCTTTCTTGGATCTGGTAAGATAATTGAAATATAGGAACAATCATCAACTCGACACTATACCGTAAATATTCCGGACATTAACCCTACAGTGGTCGCGTGGATTACACCCGTAATCCACTCGTGCAAATTGTCGAATATTTTGAAATCGGTCAACGCGATCGTTTTAATACTTCGTGTACTTTAAGTTGCATAGTCGAAGATCACACTTAATGACGTTTGAGCGCCAGGTCGCTTGTGGATGTGTCACAGGAGCCCCGTAAATGCCAATGGTCTACCCGTGTAATCCGCGCGACCAATTACGTAAGTATTTTTTAAGTAACTTTTTTACTTAATGTGTTTGTTTTTGCATTATTAGTGTAAATTAATGCTTTATAATAAATAATTACGGCATAGGTATGTATTTGCATTTGTGTTTTTAATAAAATCATTGTATTTCAGATAAAAATCATGAACAATAGACAAAAAGTACAAATTGCGGAATGGCTAGAAGTAATTGACAATGAAAGCGTATCTTCTAGCGACTCTTCGGTTTCTGATGAAGGAGTGCACATTCTTCCACAAGAGAACAAGTTTCTCAGACCAGTGATTAGCCATCTAACTCAGAACCTTGACTACTCGCTACTTTGACTGCGAAAGAAAGCGAAATAAAAGTTCTGGAAATACTTGTAATTCGTGCAACAAATTTATTTGTCCTTATCATTCCGTGATGGCCTGTATCTATTTTTCAAAATATAATTAATAAATAAGTGCAATTAGTACTAAATAATTTCTGAACTGACAAAGTTGACATTTTCATGATGAAAAATGATGATTTTTATGTTTTTGTTAATTTATAAAAACTGAGAAGAACTTCTCGTTTCTTTGTTTGATTATTTCATTAACTAATACATAACAATAAATATAAAAAATAAAGAAACATGTTTTTATAAAGAGATGTCTTCTTTTTTTACTCCATAAAATGGCTTACGCATGTAATCCACGCGACCATTTACGTAATATTTTAGAGCGCGACCACCGTAGGGTTAAGTAGTCCATACGAGATTAGGATGCCTCTTCTAAAATTGTACTAAAAGTATTTCAGAGGCTCTGTACCTCCGTCTCACTCGAGGGAATAACGCTAGAGGCATGGAACAGAAGCGTGATTGTGATCTTCTTCAAGAAAAAGATAACAGTTTACTTATGAATTCAGACCTATTTCGCTTGCCTTTAAGCATAACGTGTCGTCTCGAGCGCAGGATCGATATTTTCACATTCTTAGATTACTCGTACATTCTTAGATTCTATTTTTTAAAAGCAAATTCGTAATCAATTTTTGCAATGGCTGTTCAAGACTCTCTACCTCGAAATAATCAAATACCAACCTAATAATAATAACAAAAGTTAAACGAAATAGAAACCTTACAAACCCTGGCCATCTCTTCGCTTTGTGCTTCCTTCAGTGTGCACTTATTGTGTTTGCTATGATTCGACGGAGGCGGCGTGGTCGTCTCACTAACGAGCGCCCAGTACTTGGCAGTGTAGTTGAATTCTGGTGCAATGTATCGGTGTTGGTGCTTTCTGTGGCGGTACCCACCACCGCCTTTGGTCCTTGTGGAGCTCGATACACGGTATGAAAAGTAACGGACAGATTCTTCTGGGACCTGTGAAATAGACTCAATTAAAATTCGTCGGTTAAGTTCTATCACCATGTAAGTCATTTTTGGCGGTTTTGACATTTTAATGCATTTTGCTAAAGAATAGAAAGACGTGTAGTTTCGTCCAATCTCCTGAAAAGTTGCTAAAATGACTTACGTGGTGATAGAACTTAAACGACGAATTGAATTGAAAACATGTCATCAAAACGTAGTAGGTAGCTTCATTGCTCATAGACATAAGATGTATGATTCTGGGAAGAGAACTTAAGAAGATAAGCTAATCTGCAGGTGATTTATGCCACGTATTTTGTTTCTTAATTTCACAAATTGATAAATATTAAACTAGTAAGGTCGCGGGAAGAGCCTGGATGCGGGCAGCGCAGGACCGTTCATTATGGAAAACCTTGGGGAAGGCCTTTGTCCAGCAGTGGACGTCATTTGGCTGAAACGAAAGCTAGTTAAATGCTTCTCTTTGATTCTCCTTCAATTTTAAGACTTCAAAGTGCTTCCTACCTTCTCATTGTCGATGTACCACGTGAGTCGCGGCGCGGGCGCAGCCGGCGCGCTAGTGCAGTTTGCGCGGAACATCCCCCCCACCACAACGTCGGGTTTCGCGAACGTTATTATTGGGGGATGTTTTTGTGCATCTAAAGAGAAACCATTGTTTTAATGATAGAGAAATAGTGTGAGTATCGATAACATTAAAGCTAAGGTATCTTTATACCTGTAGTCATAATAAGTGCTATATTGTCGTAAAAGCTTTTATCTTTCTTCAAAACGAGATAAATGTCAAGTATTTGCTATAATTTGCGAACAAAATCCCTTAAATGTCAAGTATCTATCCAGATAAAAAAATATTCGAGCAACAAATTGAAAGCATTGTCTAACATAGACCTTTTGTCGTGGCGGGACAATATTTTCATAACTAATGACAATAATTCATTGTTATTTTCAGCAAAAGGAAAACAGGCGGTATTCGGAACGCACGCGTGGGTATTCATCCTTATTTACACAAAAGCCGTTTCTTTCCGTGAAATGACTTATTCATAAATGGGCACGTTTTGAATTCGATGTACGTGACCATATGATCATTTCTTGTACCAGAACAGTAATTTCCCTGATGATAAATTAATGCAAATAATAAATTATTAAACATTCTTTTCTGCCACGCGTACTAGGAGACGCGTTTTTTGTTGAATTAGTTGGAACATTGAAAGCTCAAAGCTATCTTTTTATCATGAAGATTTTCATTCAGTCAGCGGTCTTTGAAGGAGACGTCAAGGCGTTAAACTTTAGTTTTAATAAACGGTAACCTTAAATATAAACAACAGTAGTGGTTATGACATAATTTTCTTGATTGATTTGCTAAGAAATTTTGGTTTTGACTTATTGACTTGTCTTGATGAACAGAGCGTCATATCGTAGGGTATGGTGAACTGTTGAGGAAAAGAGAAGAAAGTACTTACATACAACAGTGAGTTGGTGTGGGGGAGAGGCTGCTGTGAAGATTGGGGTCTCTAGAGACACCTCGCACCAATATAAACCTGATGCTGTTGGGTCTAAATTGTCGATCGTTATTGAATTCTCTGTTGCTAACGACATCTGCAACAAAATTGATTTTTAGTTAAATTGAAACATGGCTTGAATACAAGAATGTAAGTAAATGTCATGCAAGGTCGCTCCACAAAATCTTTTGTACTTTGAAATGAAATGGATGACGAGCAGATATGTAAAAACGGTATTGTTAAGATAGCTTTTCAGCAAATTGAGAGCTGAAATCACACATGGGTCCCACTTTGGGCCCAACCTTGCCGTAAAGGTCAATGTTGTATTGAGGTAATAGCTCCGATGAGTTCTACATGCTCCATTACATTTCTTTTATGTTTTTATAGAGATTGCGCCCCTGTGAAAGTTAATTATGTTATGGAGCTTACCTTCACTAACGGCAATGGCATTATGCTGATAATATTCTAAATATTATGTAACTAAAAGGTAGTTAAATAATAATTGTACTTAAAAATAAACTGTGTGTAGTATTTCAAATCGCAATACTACTATTTAGCACGACAATATAATATTTATTACGCTCTTAACAACATAAATACCAATAGCTATCAGTTCTAGCAAACTATTCTATTCTTGCAAACTAATAAGGTTAGATAGAAGGTTATGAAATATAACACAGTTACTTTACTGGAGATAAGTTCCTATGAGCATGAGAGGAACTTTGTAATACCCGTAAACACCTAGGTGTTTACACGTACTAATGTAACGATAATAAATCTTCTTAGCGTTAACTAGTACCACAAAGCAATCTCAGAGGGACCAATTTGCGCCAATCGTGGACACCGGACCAGTGCTAGTCTGAGCAAACATTTACATAACTGAGTAAATCGTAATTAGCCCCGATTGGCCTAATCCCATTGGTTATGCGCAGTCGAGCGGAAATATACTTACCTCGAATAGGTTTGGAGGAGTTGACGGGTATTTGCATAAAATAATATGGACACTCTTAGAATTCAGATGAACTGGTGTCTTGAGAGATAACTTGGGTATGGATTTTTATATTCTGGTGGACCGATGACCTCATAAAGGTAGCGGGAAGGCGCTGGATGCAGGCTGCCACCAACCGGCTATTGTGGAAATCATTGGGGGAGGCTTTTTTCAGAAGTGGACATCCTATGCTGAAATGATGACGATGATGATTGATTAAAATCTGGAGTTACAGGAATGAAGATGAACTTCAAAGTTGTAACAATACGTCTTATTCCACCCACAAGGCTAACAGATGATGATGATGATGACTAAGTGATGTTCATCGTAGTAAATGTTTCTTTCTTTCTTTAAAAGGTTAACTTTAAAATACCTTTAAAAGGTTGACACATAATAGAGGAAGGTGCTAGATTCGGGCTGCTTCCAACCAGAAAATTTGGAAATTATTGGAGGAGACCTATGTACTAAAGCCGCTGACGTCCTATGGCCGAAACGATGATGATACTTAAGAACTTAGCATTTAAACCAGATTTCATACCTAATAGTGGTCCCTTAATGCCTCTTTTAAGATACAATTTTAACTGCACCATGACTATTGCTATCTGAATCAACAGTCAATCCAAAAGTACTCACATTCAGTTTCCCACCAGCAAAAGTGTAGTTAGTGAACGGCGGCACTCTCTCCCTGACATACTGCAGGAGCTTCGCCTCTGAGCGGAGGAACTCCACTTTGTAGAGCAGCTGTGGCGGCACTTGATGCAGGCACCGGAGGGTGGCCGAGCCACCTCGAGCCACCCAGCTGGGAGCCACCAGCTTCACCTCCACGTCTGTGGCTTGGCCGGTTCCTGGAAAAGGGATTCTATTTGTAATAATTGATGATTACTTTCTCCACGCGATCACTCACGTCGCGTAGCTTCGTCGTCACATTAAAATATATTTAGTTGTTTTTGCATAAATTAATGAGACAAACATCCACTTTCATAAGAATTCGCTTTCAATATTTTTTGCTTAAGGTTTTCAAGCTTAACAATCCTTATTCCTCTCTATCCATCTTTTTTCATTCCAAAAAGGACTTAGGTAGGGCTTAGACCCTAGCTTAGACCTTTTTAAACCAAAACGCCACAAATACCAAATTTAGGCTGAGTTGCACCACCTTACTACCTATGTATTTGTATGGAGATGGTGCAGCCCAGCATTACGAGTAGCTTGCCATAAGTTAGATGTTAATAAAAACAGGACAAGACCGCAGAATATTATTATGGAGAATATAATTTGCATCAAATGATGATGAAACTGCAAACTTTAATTGCTGCCACTTCATTCGCAGCAACAAACTGGCGCACTCTATAGAAAAAACACCGAGCCACTTGACAATTGTGCTTTCGCCGCGCTTCATTAACTCGCAGATTGTTGTGTATTTTTAATTACAACGCCGAGCCACCGATAATATCGTTAATACCATGGTTATTTAATACAGCGTTTTATTAAGAGGTTTATTGTTTCAGCTATTAATGAGATTTGCTGAGTTAATGGCCCGCGCTCGGTGTGTTGTGGTCGTATTCCATGATCCGGATAATAAGCATTTAGTACATAAAATAGAGGTTTACCTACTCTAACTTATACTTACTCATATTAATTTACCGGTATTTATCTTAGCCTGAAGGATTACAGGTTTATTTTACTACCATACGATTAAAAGAAAAATAAACATTTTTAACAAGTTTAGAATTACAAAACCATTGTAATTGCTTGTAACACAGTGTTATTCCACACCTAGTTCGTCTCTCGAAACCGAAAATATGAAACCCATCAATTCACCTACCTATGTAATACGAAACTAAAAGACACTACATCTGGCCTACATAAAGATAAAAGCCTTGCAGCCTTGCAGCGTGGAAAGATTTACATAAATGCTACAAAACGAAGTGTGTCAGCCAGATTCGATGCAAACGGGAAGGGGACACGTGCACCGGATGTCTGCCGCCATGTTATGTTAGCGCGCGTAGAGCGGAAGTGCCTTATGGCCTTATGTTTATAGACCATTTTGTGTCGAGCTTTCACGAGCTTTGATAGAAGATCGACAAGCTTTTTGCAGGGAAAAAATTCGAGTACTTTGAAGGTTGAGCGAGTCAATACTTTCTAAGGTATAAACAAAACATTATCCTTATATTAATGGCTTGAAATAACAGTAGAGTTGATATACTCATATTCTGTCTAACATTTTGTATACCTACTTGAATGCAGACTGTACTTAACGCTGATGTAAATGCAAGGAATTTATTAGGTAAGGGAGAGTCCGCTAATTTGGACCAGTTTTTTTCAATCCCATTTTACACATAGTTTTCTTTTGTTTTTGCTAATGTCCATGGTATATAATAAAAGATACATTATTCAACTTACTATTTCATAAGTATTAATTAACATAATTGTTGTATATTTAGCACAAATCAACAAAGTACGAGTTCAGAGCTTCGGTCCAATTTAGCCAACCGGTTCGATAATTTGTACCACAGGGTTACTAAATTGCATTTCAATAAATTTCAAGCCTTTAAAAAAACTATGGCAAAATATTATACGATACATTCTTAACAAATTAGGAAACGAAGAGGAACAGTAGTTAATAACATAGACAATCGATATTGTTTTACTCGTTATCACGATTTTGAGTACAAGTTTTGTAATTCCAATTATCGTAACGCACACTTGTACCTAATCTACTTTGCCAGTCTTTTGCTTTCATTTATTGTTAGTCAAACATAACTACGCTATTATAACTTCAAAATACTTTACTAAAAAAAATTTCAAAATCCTTTGGTAAAGTTCCATACAACTTGATGTGGTACAATTTAGCCGACTAGGTGATAGTGCTTTTAAAAAATCGGTAAAAAATATAGCTCATAAATACCGAAAAATGTTTCAAATAATTGTAATCCACACTAATTTACGCTTCTAAATAATATATTAGAAACACCCTGTGATTAAATTTAACAAAATTACAATCTAAACATGTATTGTCAAAAGTTAGTTGAAAACAATGAAAAAATACTTTTCAAAATAAAACACACGTGTTTGTTGTCACGACAAAAACCACATGGCCGATATTAATTGATTTTAGTTGTGTATCGCTGAGTGTTGCAATTACAGACATTCAATAAATACTTTAAGAAATATGAGGGTGGTACAATTTACCCGGCGGTACAATATACCGAACTCTCCCTAAATATTTCATAAAGGCAAACCCGTTTGGCCTGTGCAGTGATGGCCTGGCCACATTCACTAATCTCAGGTAAGTTAGAGAGATATAGTCGCGCAGAAGCACTACTGGAGAAAGTAGAGACCAAATGATCTGATAATAATGATGATGAAAGTCAAAGAAAACTATTTCTATTTAGATTCTTAGAATTGCTACATTCTAATCTAAATCTTGGGAAGCCTAAACCACGTTTCACATTTCTTTAAACAATCTTTCGGCAGAACTGAGAAGTAGCGCCGCGACAAACCTAGTCGCTACAGCCAGTAAGATATTAAGTAAAATATTTCAGCATTTCCCACGTGTCTAGGTACTGTTGCGTTAACAGCAGCTCTCAGGCGTTCCATTTCGCACGAAGCGAAGACGAGTGTCTCGCTAGCGTAAAATGGAACGCTGTGTTCATTGCACGTCGCGTCTTTAGGCTTTGCGCAGACGGTGCCACTTTCGAGCTCTACATACAATTTGATGGATTTCTTTCTTATATCATTTTATCATCGTGCAAGGATCAAGTTGATCCTGTCGACGTCCGATAGTCAGAAAATTCGTTTGTGTAGTTACTACGAGTATATTCTATTTCCATCCTGATAGAAATTTTAGAAATTGTGTATATTTTATTTATCATTGTTTCATTTTTCTTGTTAGTTACCTTGTGGCGCACATACAATAATAAATGTATTTTGTTTCTAAGATTCAAACAAACTTGTTCAACCTTCAATAGATATCTGATTCTGTGTGCCTGATTAAATCACGGTATAGAATGTTTGCAGAAGTGTCAAGTATTTGCAGGGAACTAGAATGAAATAATCACTCTTATTTAACAAGGAAAGCTAGTTTTATTTTCGCCTCCATGAAACCTAGGTTCAACTAGCTATTTTCAAACAGTGTAGAACAAGAGTAAATAAACAAAAATGCTTATACTATGCTTGGGATTAACTTATCTTGAGCTAATGCTCATGGAAATAAAATTACGATTACGATGGTAATTCAACCACATTAGTTAAATGAGACGTACCTACCGTACTTAAACAACATTAAGTCATATCTATTTCAGAACAATTAAGTTATCGACTGCGCGTACTTAACTAAAGTTGCCAAGTCTGCAGTATGCACACTTCTCGTTTTCATTATTTTAAGTTTGTAGATCTTCAACTGAAACTACAATTAGTCGTAATTGCCGAGTGTGAAGTGTGAATCTAAGACTAGCAAATTGCATAGGAGTGTTCTCTAATGAGAATAATATGACGTAGAGAAGCCAATTAAACAGTGCTGAGAATTGAAAATTAGGTGAACACTGTAAAGCTTTAGATTTCTATGCATTAAATACTTGTAGCATGCAATTAATACGCAAAATGTATGTTTTCTGTTACCTAATGTTATTGTTTTTGACATATCAAAATCAGAGGTAAATAAGTACACGATGCGCTTATGTAAAAGGTAAGTATTAAGGCAATCTAAAACGATCGTTTTAAGTGTTGCTCAACTTTAATGCATTCATGAGTAACCGCTATCGAAGAGGTCGCCAAGAACGTTTAAGGTTACTAATGTTTTCAACCTCTACCTCTACCTTTTACTTTAGAGGTAATCTCTGAAACGAACGATTCAATTCTGATTCAGTATCTGCAATTTCTGTAAAGCTCTATTATAAAATGGGATTTTATATTCTAGAAAGAATCACAGATCTCAGGGGATGCGAGACGTTCTGTGGTGAATTTTTCAGGACAAATATTTGAGGATAACTAGAAATTGTACAGGACAATGAAATCACAGGTCCTGAACACTATAATCCGGGCCTTTTCAAGGCGAGAGTGAATAGGTACTTACAGGGCAGATAATACCATCCTAGACTGAATCTCACTTAACACCAGGTGCGATTGCGGTCAAATACCTGCCTTGTCATGCATATAAAATAGCTGTATAAAAGGTTGTAACAGTTCAGAACTCATGTTAAAGTAGGTACTTACTTGCGATTGAAAATATCCTTGAAGTTCAATACATTCGTTTTACGCGTACCTCAGTACCTACACTATGATAACAAGTAATTCATAACACATACTAAATCCACGTGCAATGAAGAGGTCATCAATTATTACGTAAAGGAACTGATTTCCACCAAGCCTGAGTGTTTACCTATTTAATTCAATACCCACAAACTTCCCCGTAGATGGCGGTAGAGTCGGCACCAATCCAATTCGGGGGAAATGCAGTGTGTATACATAATGAGACCCTCCTCGAACGTACGACTAAAACGTGTCTCGAGCTGTTTGCTCACTCAGACTCGAGGGCACCCGACAAAAGTATGTGATGATTTTCCGCTTTTCCCCGCTTTGATAAAGGTTTTTTTGCGGGTCGTTTGTGATAAAGTACTGTGTTTAGCGGATTCTGTTGGTGTTGGCTTGATTTTGGTTCCTTGTTTTCTATTTTGTAAAGCCTTGGTACAAAACAAATAAAAGTGTACAAAAATTTAATGGTATAATCTGATAAATTGTTGTCATAGATAAGTCAAAGAAGAAATTCCAATTAAAATAATAGCATAAAGATCATCCGCGCCGTAAAGCATGACCCCATCTTAAATTAATGAATGAAGTTTTAACTAAA